GGGTACGCCTTCCCTTTTAAGGAAAGCCGCCTCCGAGACAACAGACTAACTGCACTCGGCCCTTTCTCGGACCTCCAACCAATTCTTCTCCAATTGAAGGCCGGGGCCAAACCAGACACGGAGTATCTTGAGAGGCCCGTCATTCCAGGTGAAGAGTCCGTGAAGAGAAACTTTCCACGCACCCAACCGTATACCCGTAGACTTGTCGCGGTTGATCTTGGCTCCTGTCACCACCTAATACCTGTTGATTTTCTTACCAATCTCGGCATTGCTTTTCACGAAAGCGCTGACATCATCGGTATAGGCGGAATATCTGTCCGGGGTGTTTGAACCAGGAAGGTTAATTTCTCTATTGAACCAGATTCGCCTTTAATTTGCACAGGAAGGGCTCCAACGCAAGAATGTAAAGCGTCGGCGAAAGCAGGCAACCATGACAAATGGATCTGGATAACATAAAAGTTTTCGACCTTACGGCATTTACTTCCAGCGGGGGGGGGAAACAATACAAGAGACAGATCCAGGTTTGAAAGTATGGCCCGAAACAGCCTCGAGAAATCGATGAAATCAGCGCGGCTTCTTTGTCAACTTGTTCTACGATCAAGCGTACCAGATGAAGGTTGTCCTTCACAGTGCAAGTCAGCTCGGGGCCAACCAGACTAGGTAGGACAGTCTGCAAACGGTTGGCCAAAATCTTTAACTCTGTATTCAGCATAGTTAAGGGCCAGAAATTATTAATCCGATCCCCTCCGTGTTTATTCTTGCGAAACGACTTGATCACACCTCTGGTGAAACGTTCGGGTATATTCCCGTTCTTCCATCCATTAGTTAAAAACCAGTGGCAGCAGAGGGACAAACACGTGCGACTCACTCAATACACCACATAGGGAATTCCATCGATAACCAGAGTCTTGTCTCGGCCGACATACTTCAACGCATTCCAGATTTCCTCCTCCTCTGTCATCGGACCCAGCTGCCCCCAGACGCTTCAGTCGCCTCGTGGTGAGAAAAGTCAGTCAAATATGTGTCGAATTGAATCGTGCTCAGTCCGGGATCCCTGGTGAAAAGATCCTGAAAATAAGATCAGAAAGCCTCACATATGTCATCGTTTTGTATTCACGGTGTGACGCTAATGATATATCAATCTGCGATACTCCGAACTTCAGCGGTCACATTTGTTGCCCCGGAAGACATCCTTTTTAATCTAACCCTAACTACCAGAACTTGGCCCTTCTTCATAAGCAAGGAGGCCAACTCTGCTCTAGCAGCGGCAATTTACCCACTACTCTACGATTTTATAGCCCTTTCTACTCTAGATTCTTAGGCTGTTTGCTCTGCTAATCCATCTTGATTGAGTTGCTTAGAAAACGATCTAATGGTAACCTTAAGGTGAGGCCACCACTAATTCCTAACCACAGAGCCCGTCAATTCCAGCATTAGAGTTAATAAAAGCTGGTCCTGAAAATCCTTCTCACCGAACAACGATGTGTGGAATTTCCAGTAGCCAGCCATTCTAATCTTAAGTTTATCTAGGTTTAGACGAACCCGGACAAGCCTATGGTCCAAATAAACTACGGTATGTAGACTTGGGCAGCCTAAAAGCCTTTAGTCGACTCTCCTATTTAAGACTCGATCAATGTAGCTTGTACGCAACTTCGAAGCCGAGCTGGCCTTTAGTCCAAGTCCAAACTACCTCCCGAGGAAATTTATTGCTGAACTTATCGACAAGAACCAACGAAATGCCTGATCTTTTATGATAGTGTCCACAACACAAAGCCTGCCCTCCATATCCGCGAAAACAGCCTTCAGAGAACGGTCCACCAGCCAAGAAACCCCTCCTTGAGCAGCCATCATAATATGCTGAAAAGAGGTCAAACCTCCCCGTCAGTATATAAGAATGGAAACGAGTCTCTTGAACAGCACATAGATCTACCCCCAGGCGCTGAAAGTCGCGATTGAGTCTCGCCCTGCGATACACCGACCTCAGCCCTAGGGCATTCAAACTAGCTAAAATGAGTGCCATTGTCAGATCTAATAGGGTTGGCCGTCTGCCTTAAACATTATCGGATAAAACATTATGAGGATACCGACGGCCTCGCCTATTGACCCTTGGCCCATTTCATACTTTATGTGACCTTCAATCGTGAGACCCCCGATATCCCACGAATAATGTTAGTTTAAGTGCTTTATATAGGGAAGGGTTAACAAAAACTGGGACCCTCCCAACTTTTTGTTTTCTTGTTTTCCCAGATTGTCAAGGGAGGTGAAATATCAATGCCTTCCTCCACCATTTCTATGTCCTTCTCGCCAAACTTTTGCATTGACAGCAAGTTTTTCAATGCATGAATCCTGTTACTATAATTCTTTTCTCTTTCTTTTTGACACGGGGTTACCCGGCAGACATTTTCTCCTGTTTTATATGTTAATTTGGATTTTCTTCTTTTTTCCGAGCTTCAATAGATGGGCTCCTATGCCTCTTTTGTAGGGTTCGTTGGAGGATGAGATTGGACAGGAGCGGAAGGCTATGATGCCGAGGGAGTGAACACCTTAATAAGGGGGAACATATGTAAAGAGGTTGGGGTCAGTGACCTAATCACAGAGGAAGAGATATTTTTATGTGATGGGGAAGTTTGGTGCAGAGGCTAAGGGGCATAACACCTTCACTGCTCCATGTTCTTTTTTGCCAAATGTGGCCACTTTTTTTAAGGGGGTTAGGGTCAACAACCTAGGCTAAACATTTTTGGTGGGGTGGGAGGGAAATGACACGAAAGCTGAGAGACGCGGTACCTCCACTGGTCCTGGGTTTTTTTTCCTCCTCAGCATCCTCTCTAATTACTTGATCTTTTCGAATTTCTCGTAACCAGGGTCAAATCTTTTGCACTGCTCATGTAGTTTTTCGACTGTTAATGTCCTTGCTCTTGGGGCTTCAGGGGACTGAGATCCCGCAGCTTGGAGCTTCCCTCTCGCTCTACCTATGACCACCTATTCCTGCTTATCTTCCGCCTTCTTTTTGACAAAGAATTGAATGTGTATTTCTTTATGCTATTTCAAAACAGACACTAGTTAATAATGGTTTCTTAACCACCTCATCGACCACCAGATTAGAATATTTCCTTCCAAATTAAATAATAACGATACTAAACACGAAAACAAAAATAACATAAATATTTCTACAAAATCCAAATGCACGTCAACTATAAACAAGATGAATCTTCACTAAGAATTACCCGAAAAAAAATAATTACCTACTACAAAAAAATTTAAAACTGATAATCTTATCATCGCAAATAACAACACACCTGCAAAATCAAAACTACAAAAAGCGAACATTAATGGCCCTTAAGGAACTGTGTTCCTGATCAAACCGAACTCATAAATAATTACATTCGTCACACTATTACATGACTATATAGACGCCTTACGTTACACCTATCCGACCACAGCTCCATCAGAACACATTTAAACACAAACTTATCAAACTCCATCCGAAACATACTAGTAGAAAATACAAGCACAATAACCTCATCCACGGGTAAAAAAAGATTAAAAATAATGGAAATAATAAAAAAGAAAAAGCCAACACTTAATAATATTAACTACGAACACGGCCACAATGTGCTGTGTTCGGAAAATAAAACATCCTTATAACTCTAGAAACACACGCACAACCCATACAACCAGTTAAAAAGTAAAAATAAAAACATCCTTGATAATGGTTAAAAGTATAGCCGAAAGTGCTCGGAATTACAGAGCATTTGGACAGTTTCTACACACTCTGTGCCCAGAAAAGAAAACGCTTGTTCTAACACAAGAAAAATTAAATGAAAAGCTTAATCGTACTACCGTGTCTGTCATATATAAACGAGTGATTGCTGCCTAAACACGCACACACACACACATATATATATATATATATATGATTTATAAGATGAAGGTAATTCTGAAAAACAAACATTTAGATTATCAGCATTTAATAAGCAAATAGTCTTTTTCTTTCTCTTATTTCATCCATATTTTTGTAATTTAATGCACTACTGGGTTTTCGATTTATTTCTATTTCTTTGAGGATTTTTTTTTTTTTTTTTTGCTTATATCTACACTCATTTGAACCCAGGAAAAGTTTCATTTAAACTATCCAGATAATGTTGCGAGTAAAAAGAAATATTAACAAAACTCGATATTGTTTGTTCGTTGTAATTTTGAAAGCAAACGGATTCTACTCATTTGAAAATCCACGTAGTAAAATCTTTCAAATCTTTCTCTTCCTTGTTTAACGCCAAGCGATTATCAAGATTGGCAAATCTACTCACGATTCTTTTTTATAATGGAATATTTATTACTTACAAAGATATTTTTGTTCCGTTATCTTGATCGTTTCTCTCTTCAAAAGGGCAGTTCTCTTTGATAACGAATTATTAATTATGCAAATCAAAAACGTTACTTCTTTTTTTAAAATTACTCCAAATCTGCAATCACAAAATGGAGTTTTTCTCTTCCGAATATTTTTCTCTCTCCATTTACATGATTTGGCTGTGTTAATATTGACATTGCAGACTTTGCCACATCTGACGCAGTTTCCCCATTAACCAGCGAGATCCACGTGCAAATGCAAGCCTCCCCGCTTCGGCTGCTGGAGAAAGTCAGTCAACGGGAGGGGAAGATCCAATTTTTCAGTGCGGTCTCTTCTTTCTACTCTTGGTCTGTGGTTTCCATAAAAAAACAGGTTTTCTTGTCGACTTTTTTTTATTACTGTATCTCCCTGTCGATAATTTTAGATGAGGGACATTTCTTAAGGAGGACTTGTATCTATTCGGTGATCTCCCCCTTCTTTACATCTGCTTCATTTTACAGAGGGCAGTTCGACGAACAAGAGAGTTTTTGGAAGATGACGTTTTTCAATTTCACCACATGGTCTGTCCCACAACCCAACTAAGCTAGTCTTTTGCGACATAGGGTTATAAGTACTGAGGCTAACTCTCTTGAGGACTTTGTGTGAAAGTCACTCCAGTGCAGTGAGGGGGATGCAGAGACCACACTGATTGGAAGCGTTCAAAGAGGGCATATTTGCCGAATGGAATGCTAAAAGAGCAGATATGGTTATTTATACATATTCATCTATAAACTTTAACTAAAATAATTTTAGTTAAAGTTTATAGATGATATTTTTTAATGTACATTTTGGGGTCGTAAATTGCCGCTAAAACAAACAAATTAAACAAGCTATTTAGACGCCGAATGTTCAGTTTTGTGGTACGAGTAAACAGGTTCACCTATCCCCCGGTTCACACTACTTCCTCGTCTTTTAAACAGGAGTTTTCTGTTCAGGATTGGATTTCAAGTACCTTCTAAAATCTTCTCATACTCTTTCACTGCCAGTAACCCCTTGCGTCCTAGTGACATTATAGCCTCGCTTGGAATGAAATGATTAAAAGAAAAAAAAAACTCCTCAATATGTCATCAGTTTTACAAAAAATTAATTTTTGTCAAGTTCTTACAAACTGAATGCATCGTACTCGCAGTCCAGGAATAATAAATGACTCCTCTTTCTCTCTCTTCAGACAGATATTTTTTTTTTTTTGTTTTTTTTTGTCTTGTTTTTTTTATCCGAGATCAAATTCTACACGATCACCTCTGGATTAAAACAAAGAGGATTTTCATTTCATCATTCTGTCAAATTTTGACACCTTTAATCCGAACAGAAGCTTCTCAGGGTATTTTTCAAGCTATCAATTGGAATTATTACTGGATTAATTTCTGTTCAGCGCTGCTGAGTTTAAAATGATAAAAATTTACCGTTTTATGGAAATGATAACATGCACCATTCATTTTCGCAATAACAACTGATAATGGTAACATTTTCAGCATATATTATGACTTCTATAAGCTGAAATTAGCATTGGTATATTTTTATAATGTTAATTTCAGCTTATAGCTTGTTTGGGATGAGCGGGTGGTGTAAAGAATAGAGGCCCGGAATAAGAGGTTAGGAAATTAGAATATGAATTATAATTGGATTTGTTACAATCACTTGCTCGCAAATATCTTTGAAGAAGTTCGGAGACCATCTCCCCACCCCGCCAAATAATATCTTTCACTTTTCAACAGACAATGATATATAGAGAAAAAAAGAAGAAATTCTGCTATTTTTATTTTTCAGTTGAATTTTCTGTCTAATTTCTGGGATTAAGCATTATCATTATTTACATTATTTACAATCAAAATAATATCCTCATCTTTGTTGTTATTATCACAACGTTTCGGCCGTTGTGCCCTTCTTCTGGTGTCAATCCGAATAACCATCAGATAATTTCGAGGTAGATTATTCTCGTTCTGCTGTCCATACAGGACGATATATCCATACACATTGACAGCGTATCAAGAACCATCTCTCCTCTGTAGGTTATGTGGAACGTGAAAGACTTGAAGAAGTCCGAATAGCATAACAGTCGGATCTTTCTGATAATACCAACAAAGATGAGGACATTAGTCTGTCTGGAAATAATGACTGCAAGATTTTGAGACCTAAAAATTTAAACCCAATTTTGAACTCTTCCTCTTCAGAAAATTCTTAAAGACATCCTGAATCGATAATATCAGATCAAACTTTTTGAATTTAAAATTCGATGGTCAGTGATAGCAAGTGTTTATTATTTCTGATTGAATATATCGGTGCTTCCAATATAATTATCACCTTTGCTTAATCGATATTCAGAAACTTTGTCTGTGCAATCGTGACTATTTGCTAAGGACATTCATTAGCGTTGAGGCATTCATTGATCTTCACTTTGATCAAATGAGAATCGATTAAATCATTTGTATGTACGTTAGATAAATAAATGTGCTGCTGCCTTCAAGGTTTCTGTTATCAAACAATAATGACTGGAAATAAATCGACTTCTTTTGAGGGTCAGTAAAGAGGAGTAATTAAAATAGAATTTATGTTTTCGCTTTCACTGACTGAACCATAGAGACGGACTGATTTATGAAAATGACAAAAGTTATTATTTCCTGTAGAGTAATTAGTTACTTTCTTTCTTGTCTGCTCCAATGACAGATCAGTGAGAGAAACAGAAACGATGAAATTTACGACAAAGGTAAATCGACAGCAGGACGATCTTTTCAAAATCAATGTGTGCCAAACATCTAATGAGGTATTTACACAAATTATCTTCTTGATACAGAAATACAAGAGTTGGGTTTCAGTTTATAAAGTCACCCACAATTGTTCAACAATAGCTGCTCTTCTTCTTTTCTGCTTAGGATTATGTTTCCATTTTCTTTCTAAAATCTTCTTATTCTCATTCCCTCCTAGCAAGCCTTAGTGGCATTATCACCTTGCTTGGGGTGAAATAATTCAAAGAAAAAAGGATCTTTCTCAACACGTCATCAGTTTTACAACAAATTGATTTTTGCCAAGTTCGTATGAACTGAATGTATATTTAATATTTTATACAAATTTTAAAATACTTGCGCTTGTAATGAAAGATATTTAATGTTTGTTCTGGAATTGAGATGTGTATAAAATAATAATACGCCTAAATATTTGATACATTCTTTTCTGGTGGAGTACAGCTCCGTGTAACCAATATACACATGAGTTCACTTATGTCAACAGCCCATGTACCATTTTCCAAATTTTTCAGATTATGATTAAAAACTTAAGTCATTAAGTCAAATAGTTTTTCAAGTTTCATGAATACAAGTCCCTTTCAAACTACAGTAAAACGACATCACAACGATAGAAATGACTTAAAATTAAAAAAAAAAACGTATATGAAGTTTTCACTGTGGTAAAAAAAATTTTTTACGAAGTCAGTTATATTTGCTTGTTGATTTGCAAGCATAAAAATTTCCACATATAAAACAAAAATAATCAGGGTTGTTTTTGCATTTGAACTTTCTAGTGCTTGAAGACATATTGCCTGATTATTTTACCAATTTGTAAAGGTATTTAAAGCCCCTAATTCATGAAAATTTAAGAAAATCTAAAATATAGATACAAAAATTGGTTTAAATAGGAACTTATTATAGTATAGGTACTTACAATCTATAAAATTAAACTAGAAACACGGATAAGTTGATATAATATAAATTAAGCCTAATCACTATTAAATCACGACAAAAATACTCATAAATCATATACTAATTCAAAATTATGTTAATGCTCAAACTTAATTAACTGGCTGATTGAACTGGCTGATTAACTCCAGAAACGAGTCACTTTTATATATTTTAGTTGTCCCTTTAGAATATTCTACAGAAAACAGTAACGCTTGTGAAAATTCTAGAATTCTACGATATTTCGGCTTAATTTATTAATATTAAAATAGGTTAAAAATGAAAAGTTAAAAATACTTTATGGTATTATATATAAAAGTATACATACAACAATACCAAAACAATAAGTACAAATATCTAGATAAAAATATAGTAGCATAATATGTAACTGCAAATGAGTATTGAGAAGCAATAAATATGACGAAAGAGGAGAGGTGTTGAGCAAAATCAGGACCTGATGGAGTAAAAACGAGTAAAAATTCGTACTCAGTGCATCCCAAATTACATAGAACTGTCAATTCTAATTCAGCAGACAAACAAATTGAAAATTTTTCCCTTGTGTAATCACCTACAGATCAGTATGTTGACAGATTCCAAAATAAGCGTATATTAACTGTATTAATATTTTGTATAATACTTGAGATTTAATAACGTCCTGTACTTACATGTATATATAATAGTACAGATAGGCATATCCCATCATGTCCAATACATATTTAATGAGAAGCAGGCCTGATGATCATTGCGCGACCAGGAAAAATTTCAAACATCTTGAATAGCATTTTGTGTAGCACGGGAAACATGCAGGTGAACATTATCCTGTTAGAAAATCATACTACTATCTTGTAACAGAATGTCATCAGAATGACTTCAACAATATTCTAAATGTGTATGCTGTTGACCGACGTTCCGTCCACAAGCACCAAAATTGAACGATAGTTGTAACATATATCCGACATTATAATACCCGTTAGGCCTGAACGTCATGGGCAAAACACCCTGGAAAATATCGCTGCCACTGATCATTATAAATTCATCTCCTCCCAACAGCTATGTGCTAAATATCAGGACTTGTATCTGGAAAAAAAATAATCGCTATTCTCATAAGAATTGTCAGTGCAATATTCACTTGCAAAAAATAAATATTGTTACAATCCCAAATATGTTTCGGCTTTAAATAACCCGTAAATAATCAATCACTCCGCTCCTAAGACCCTGTTGTGTAGGCAAATGACCATCACTTATTTCTTTTAACCTGCACAAAGACCGGAGGCACTCGTGGTATAAGGTTACGTTAAGAGGTAGTTTATATGGGTAGGAGGGGGAAGATAACGGCTAACTCCAGAACTGAAAAGGTTAAGGTTGTAGTAATCTGGGAAACATCCTCTTGGGTATCTGTTCTACAGAGCAGTGTTTTTCAGGAAGAAGCTGTTTGAGTGGAACTTCTCGCCGGTGGAACACGAAGGAAATGTGGGTAGTTTTCTCCGATCTAAGTGGCATGGTCGATCCTAGCTGTGAAAGTTAGATTGGTGGAACTAGGAGATACAGTTCGTCCGAGCACTTTCCATGGTAGTAACGATAGAGACTCGTCACATCCCGTCTGTGAGAGAAAGAGGTTGGAGGGTAGAAAATAATTCTTCTCCAACAAGGACTCTGAGATGCGATTGAACACTATTAAGTCTGGAGAGTAAAGACTGGACAGTTAATGTTCACATAGGGCAACAGTACTTCATTTTTGGCCTAATCTGGCTCTTATAAAGATAGAGGATAGCATGACTCAAGTATTACTGAAACAGTAGAGCGAGCCGACTTTAGCGATGGATCGTATATAGGAATTCCACTTGAGGATGAGTGTGAGTTTCAGGTCTAAAATACTCACAAGGCACGGAGCCTCCTCGTGGGGACATCTGTTCATCGTGACTAGCGGGGTCTGATGCAGAATCTATATTCATCGATGAATATCACAGAATTTTTTTTTTAAGCAAGGCGTGAAGCCACTAGGAT